ACCCTGTAACACCCTGTAACACCCTGTAACACCCTGTAACACCTTTTGAAAAGGTATGCACCTGCTGAAAGAAGATACTCGACGACTCTATAGTGACCATGAAACACTGCTTGCATAAGGGCCGTCCACCTGAAAGAAGGAGAAATTAGAATTAGCGTGCACTTTTCAAATGTAAGTAAGTAAAGTGAATAGCGAAATTTTGGTGGAAAGTAATTTTCTCACCTTTTTTGGTAAAAACATGCAATTTACAACAGTTAAACTATTAAAACTTTTACAGTTTACAGCAAGACACTAACTTGTTATTTTCGTCCTGAGCATTGATGTCGCACCCCACCTCCAGCAACCACTTCACTATCTCCGTCTGTCCCATGACAGAGGCAAACATGAGGGGGGTGCCCCCCATTAGGGTGTTACTTTGAGTGTCTGCTAGACCTATCACGCTCTGCAATCGCTGGGTTGTACTATTTGAACCGGAGTATATAATAGCCACATTAAGTCACAGAACAGTCGCATAAAGTCTCAAAATGATAATACTTATACAATAGTCACATAAAGTCACACAATAATCTCAAAAAAGTCCCATAGTAGTCACATTAAGTAACATAACGATAAAAACTTTCATGATATAGGTTTCTTTGTTACTAATTAACAAGCAATTGTTGACACGTGCACAAGCGATAAATAGCTGGTTATCGCTCCTATGCCCAGCGATAATGTCTTATCGCTCGTGCGCTGCCTTAGGCTCATGGTAGTCGGTGCTGTGCACAATGCACATTGCACAAGCGGCATTCATTCATTCAATTCGTAAACTTCTATATCTCTAGATCTTCTTAGATTACAGTTATTTTATTCTCTATCGTGAATGAGATTTTTGCAGACTACTATTCATCAGAAATGAAAAATTCATATAGAATCATTTATAATCTATCTGAAAGATTTTTAAAACTATTACTTGAATAAAACAGCTGGATTCTACTCCGAGATTTTTTAGTCATGACACGCACTAAATGTTATGTCATGTAGTCCCACATGGTGGAAACATAAAGTAACCAGTCAAATTTATTACCAAAGCCATTCTCTGTCTCATGATGAGAAACGAATTTCTTTGACGAATTTTTGATTCAATTGAGAAGTATAAACCCTCCCCTAACAGCTGGAGGATTAATTTAAGAACGCCATTTGTCCAAGTTAACTTGGTTATAAGCCGTCAATTTAGTTGAGTTTAGACGCACATTTTTCGAAGACAAAGGAGTTCTCTGAGCTAACCAATCGCTTGAGTTAAATTCTATGATTAGCGAATAGAAATTTTAAAAATACTGTCTTGGGATAGACGACAACGGTTTATTTAAGTAAAGGAATCAAGACATTTCATCATACAATCTTTTATCAATCATGAAGGTTTTAATCGTGTTTTGTCTCGTAGTATCGGCCTTTGCTGCCGAGGATGCTCTCAGGCAACTTCTCAAATCCCCTAAAGACACTCTGAAACTTTATGGATCCTTCAAAGCTAAAGAAAACCTAAAGTTCCGAAGTAGCGAAGACGGCTTGAGATTCCGACTTTTCCGGGCAAACGCTGAATTTGTAGCATCTGCAAATGAGCAGAGCGAATCTACAGTATTCGGTCTTAACTTATTCTCCGCAATGACCTCTGACGAGAAGAAACAATACTTAGGTTTGAATATCACCGGACAAGAACGCAATCCTCCTGTTCTCGCCTCCTTAGCCTCAGTACCATCCGAGAAGCTGTGGACCAACGAAGGAGCCGTCACTGAGGTCTTCAACCAAGGGCACTGCGGATCTTGCTGGACATGGGGAGCAGTAGGAGGTCTGGAGACCAGATACAAGGAGAAATCCGGCAAACTGAGGAAGTTTGCTGAACAGGAATATCTGGACTGTACCTACAGCGACTCAAAGGATGGATGTCGTGGTGGATGGCCAGACAATGCCTACGACTACTCAAAAAAGCAGGGCGGAAGACTAGCGTCGTCTAAAGATTATGCCTACAGAGGAGAAGACAGTTCCTGCAAAGCTAGCTCCAAACGTAACTCTGCAGTGGCCTATAAAATCATGGGTCACGTAACCGTAGGTAGCACAGAGTCTGCAAATATTGAAGCCCTGAGTACCGGATCTCTCTCAGTAGCCTTCGAGGTAACTGACTACTTCCAGCAATACAAAGGAGGCATCATCAAAGACAAAACTTGCAAAGGCAGACCCAACCACGCGGTAACTGCTGTCGGATACACCCCCATGTTTGTCCTGGTTAAGAACTCCTGGGGACCTACCTGGGGAGACCGAGGGTTCGTCAAATTCGGCCGGCACCATACTAACTGTGGGCTCTTCTTTTACAGTAGTTATCCCCAACTGGTGGCTACCGGAACGTCTGACTCCACCCCATCAGACCCAGCAACCAGCTATAGGCCAGCAGAGGATGACAATCGTCCAGCACCAAATCCAACATGCAAGGACAACGCTCTTGATTGCACCGTGGATTACTGTAAGTGGGAAAGCATGAGAACTAAATACTGCAAGAGGACCTGCGGTTTGTGTGGTGATGATGAGGAGGGTGGTGACTGTCCCTCAGGGACAGAGAAGTGTTCGGATGGAGTCTGCCGACACCCACATATGTGCTGAATATCTTGCTAACCGTTCCGGTTATTTGATTTTAATAATTTAACGATTGATAGCGATAAAATGTGTTGTTAATTCTCGAATTCATATTGGGCTCTATGTACATGGCATCGACAAAATGACATTTCTTGCAACTTAGGGCGTGTTCACAAATAAGTTCACCCCGATTTGGAACTCATCAGTAAAAATACGACAGTCACTAGGCTCATCCCCATATTGTGTGCGGAATATAATATAACGATCCATCCACAATGTTACATAATCTCAAGTCCCAACTCCCCTCTTCCCGACAGTTGTTAAAAAGCTAAATAAAAGGCTAATTCAAAAGGTCTTTTGTTTCTTAGATAGGTGAGACAAAAGGCTAGACAAAGGTTAAATAACACAAAGCATTATCTTTAAAGAAATATCTTGAAAGGTAGTGAGCGGGTAGGTGGAAAAAGTAACAACAGCAAATGAGGAGTAGATTAGCGCCATAAGTTTATAAAAAAGTTTAATTGCTTTTGAGGAGAAGAAACAAATTTAATTCAGACAAATTCCATTATTTGACTGGAGCCGGAGGTGCTAACACCATTGTTGTAAATGACATTTTCAACAATGGCTAAGTTGGCTAAGTGACCAGTCATTCGCTATTCCCATTCAACACCTTTGTAACCATAAAGTATAAATTCAGTGGTTCGCGGTTAACGGCCACAAACTGCATCAACATGAAGACCTTCGTCGTACTAATCTGCTTGGTGGTGACCGCACACGCCTTTAAGGAGACCTTGAAGACCATCCTGAAGTCTCCTAAGAATACTCGACAGCTTTACCAACATTTCAAAGCCAAGCAGCACTTGAAGTTTGGCAGCAGCTTAGAGGAAGGCAAGCGATTTAAAAGATTCAAAAGAAATGCCAGATTTGTTGCACAGGCTAACGAGCATAGCACCACAACCAAGTTCGCCCTAAACTTCTTCTCAACCATGACGAGAGCTGAAAAGAGGCAGTACACAGGTCTGAATATAACCGGGCATTTTGCCAATTCGCCAAGGTTGTCATCAGGACTGCAAGCTGCAGCAACTGAAGTTATGTGGACAACCAAAGGAGCTGTAACTAAAGTTGCAAACCAGGGAACTTGCGGATCTTGCTGGACCTACGGAGCAGTAGCAGGTCTGGAGTCCAGATACAAACATTTCTCAGGAGTGCTGAGGAAGTTCTCAGAGCAAGAGTACCTTGACTGCGTCTACGAGGGACAGAGAGATGGGTGCCAAGGGGGATGGCCTGACGACGGATACACGTACAGTGCGGATAAAAGATCCGGCCAGTTGGCTTCCTCAGCTCAATATCCCTACACAGGAACAGACGGACAATGTCAGACTACCAAAGGCAACTCTCTTATCGCATACAAGATTACTGGATTTGAAAAGGTAGGAGGCACTGAAGCAGCTAACATCGTAGCCCTCAATACTGGATCCCTCTCCGTAGCATTCGAGGTGACGGACTACCTACAACAATATTCCAAGGGTATCATGAAGGACACAACCTGCACTGGGTCACCTAACCATGCTGTCGCTGCTGTGGGATACACCGCTGACTACGTTCTGGTTAAGAACTCCTGGGGTGATCAGTGGGGAGAGCAAGGTTTCATCAGGTTCGCTAGAAACCATGGAAATTGCGGGCTATTCGAGTACAGCTCCTATCCTAAACTTGCAGGAACAGGAACAACTGATACCAGCACTTCTGATCCAGCTGCTAGCTACACCCCGAACGATGACTCCAGCTCCGACGACTCTGCCTGTGTGGACGAAGCAATTGATTGCGAGAGCTGGATGTGCAGCATCTCGGGCTACGAAGATGTAATGAAGGAGTGGTGTCAAAAGACATGCAACCATTGCTCCAGTGGGACTTGTGCTACCGGCACGGTGAAATGCAGTGATGGAGTTTGCAGACACGAGCATATGTGCTAGTTAGTTGAGGAGAGGCGTGTTTGAATTACATTTTGTTTCATTTAGAAAATGTATCATAAGTTTTTGTTTTTTTTGTACTTCAGTGTCGTGCTTAATTAAATCTGTGAGTGTAAAATTTTCTGTAGTGTAGGATTCAAACTCGCATTAAACTGGAATTTGAAAACTTGTTCAGGTGATTTTAAAGGATAAGCAGGTAAAATTTCTAAAAGTTTTTCAAAATTGTCCCACTTTCAAACAAAGATTTGCATCAAGCATGCAGTGAATGAATGAAAAAAGCGAGCGACCGATTTCATTCTCGGTATCATTTTCCATTTGAGAACGGTAAATAAAATTGATATGATTTCCTTTAGTTTGGGAAAGGCCAAGGGGGACAATGGCAACGATCCACTTAACAGAATTAGCGTTTATTCCTGAATAGTGAATACATGCGTATCACGGGGATCCGTCGTAAAACAGGGGTTCCAAAAACCCACTTTGCGATGCTCATTGCTCCTTACCCCGGAGAGTAAAATTGTGCACATTTTGTTGAAAATCTCCATATAACTATTATATATTCCTGTTACCTTTATTAGCCATGAATTGGGGTATTTTTAACTGAGAATCAACGTCCCGGACGGCTTCTAGTGAGTCTAAATAAAAAATAAAATAAAATAAGAGTAAAGGGGTATAATAGTAAGTGGGTATAAAAGTCAATGGTAGTGCTTGCCAGCATTGTGATAGATAAACAAAGGCTTCAATGAAGGTTTACTAACAAGAAGGTTTATCGATAAAGGTAGTGAGTGGATAGATGGGAAAGTAACAACAACAATTAATGACCATGAAAGAAGTTTGAAAGGACATGTAGATTAGGTGATTAGCGCCGTAAGTTTATAAAAAAGTGCTTTGTTTTTTGGAGAACGAACAGACTGGTTGAGCTAACAGCAATCAGCATTGTTGTAAATGACATTTCCAACAATGGCTCAGTTAGTGGCCAATTATTTGCTATTATCATTCACTACCATTGTAGTTTCTACCCATAGAGTATAAATTCAGTGGTTCGGTTAACAGCCACAAACTGCATCAAAATGAAGACCTTCGTCGTACTACTCTGCTTGGTGGTGACCGCACACGCCTTGAAGGAGACCTTGAAGACCATCCTGAAGTCTCCTAAGAATACTCGGCAGCTTTACAAACGTTTCAAAGCCAAGGAGCACTTAAAGTTTGGCAGCAGATTAGAGGACCGCAAGCGATTTATACAGTTCAAAAGAAATGCCAGATTTGTGGTACAGGCTAACGAGCATAGCAGCACAACCAAGTTCGCCATAAACTTCTTCTCGACCATGACGAGAGCTGAAAGGAGGCAGTACATCGGTCCGAATATAACCGGGCATTTTGCCAACTCGCCAAGGTTGTCATCAGGACTGCAAGCTGCAGCAACCGAAGTTATGTGGACAACCAAAGGAGCTGTAACTGAAGTTGCAAACCAGGGAAGTTGCAGTTCTTCCTGGACCTACGGAGCAGTAGCAGGTCTGGAGTCCAGATACAAACATTTCTCAGGAGTGCTGAGGAAGTTATCAGAGCAAGAGTACCTTGACTGCGTCTACGAGGGACAGAGAGATGGGTGCCAAGGGGGATGGCCTGACGACGGATACACGTACAGTGCGGATAAAAGATCCGGCCAGTTGGCTTCCTCAGCTCAATATCCCTACACAGGAACAGACGGACAGTGTCAGACTACCAAAGGCAACTCTCTTATCGCATACAAGATTACTGGATTTGAAAAGGTCGGAGGCACTGAAGCAGATAACATCATAGCCCTCAATACTGGATCCCTCTCCGTAGCCTTCGAGGTGACGAACACAGTACAACAATATTCCAAGGGTATCATGAAGGACACAACCTGCACTGGGTCACCTAACCATGCTGTCGCTGCTGTGGGATACACCGCTGACTACGTTCTGGTTAAGAACTCCTGGGGTGATCAGTGGGGAGAGCAAGGTTTCATCAGGTTCGCTAGAAACCATGGAAATTGCGGGCTATTCGAGTACAGCTCCTATCCTAAACTTGCAGGAACAGGAACAACTGATACCAGCACTTCTGATCCAGCTGCTAGCTACACCCCGAACGATGACTCCAGCTCCGAAGACTGTTTGGACGTAGCAAATGACTGTAAGAAATGGATGTGCATCGTCTCGGCTTACACAGATTTAATAAAGAAGTACTGTCAAAAGACATGCAACCATTGCTCTAGTTGAGCTACTGGCACGGTGAGATGCAGTGATGGAGTTTGCAGACACGACCACATGTGTTAGTTAGTGGAGGAGAGGTGTGTTTGAATTACATTTTGTTTCATTTTGAAAATTTAAGTTGTTGTCTTTTTTGTACTTCAGTTTCGTAGTTAATTAAATCATAGGTATTCTGTAGCACAGGATTCGAACTGGGATGATACTGGAATTTTAAAACTTTTTAACAAACTTTATGACAATAACTTGGAGCATCGACAATTTTTAGTCTGTAATTTTTCACGTGGAAACTTCCAAATACTGAAAACTCTGAGTACTGATTATTATTTGTTTGGTAACCATGTATTCAGTAGATATTCAATCCTGATTCCTGATTCTCACAAAACAAAAGTACAACTTGATCAAAATCTATTTATTTAATATCAATGATGGCCCCTAAAAGTTTTCTTTTGAGATTATATTACAACCAAAATATTTAAAATTAAGCCTTACAAATATGTGTCACCAGAAATTAAAATTAAAAAGAGATTTTACCTGTAAAGCCTCAAGATCCCCATTTTCAATGGCGAGGGATATCGCCTTGCTAGAGTCCGGAATCGGCAAAGTTTCCGACAATAACGCCATCAACTCTCGTTTCTCCTTGGACTCAGTTGACCTGATCACCTATAAACATTTGGAATGATTATGAACAGTTGGCATGATTACCTGTAAACAGTTAACCACGATATAAATAGTTAATTACGCTATAAACAATTGCTCTTGCGATCTATAAACAGTTGGGTTAATTAGATGATAGAAATTGATTCGGGGTTATAATCAAAATTGATGTAATATATACATATCATAATTGTTTCGGGCTTGAGCTGAGCACAGAATGGATCGTAATTTGTATCGAATAAATTAAACTAAGAGGAGGAATATTCCAACAAATGCAACAAAAAACTGTAGGTTTTCATCGAACCAACTGTGTCATACCTACTGTTGGAGTTAAGATACGTTAAAAAATTGTTTAATACTTAAGAACCGAAAATCTGTCTTGTACTGAAAGAAAGCCGATCAACAACGAATTATGTTTTGTTAAACGTACGAACAACTCAATAAGGCAACCTACTGCCCACATGTCAGGATAGCAGCTTAATCAGCAAACATTATCACCAAACATAAAACATAATCATTGTGGGAACCAGAAAGGACCCGGGCACCCGACCACTGACAATAACCAACTGAGATGACCGCACAAAAGTGCAGATGAGTGGCTCTTTGGTTCACAAAACAGAGCTAAGACGTGTGTTTGTGTGTGTGTGTGTGTGTGTGTGTGTGCAGAATGCAGATAGTCAATCGTGTAAATTGTTGGGTATATTACCGGGCACACACCATGCTTGCAGTTGCCGCTCAGTCATTCTAAATTTTATTGCACTTCATTTCCTTTAGCTTACAATATGAGTTACGTGACCAATTTTACGAGTTGTACTTGGATTATGCTAAAATTAAGAAGCATAAGAGAGAACAGGTGGGAGAAGGAGATGTTTTATATTGCTACCCTCCTTCCAGTGCTATTCCATATTAACATTAAACAATCGTAGCCGGATACACAAATGTGAGAGAAGATAGGGAGTCCGGAGTAGTAAACAGAGGAAGTAGTTACAAACAGTTCCACGAACAATATATACATGTTTACCTGAAAATAAAACATTTCAGAACTGAGAGCAATCTACTCAGATATGATAAACTTATACATTCAGGAGTGTGGTAATGTTTTCAAGCTTGTTGACAACGTCCAGTATTTGTGGACCACACACAACTGCATAACTGCAGGTTTGAAACTCCGTGATCTGTAATAAATAACGCCTATTTCACTGCAGGAGATTAAGCAAACCATGGCTAATACTTACTAAAACTACTTAGGGATTGGTTTTACCACATTTCTTACCCAGAGGTCATTTGATCGTGGCACCATTCGGCCAAGTAAAGGAAGTTATTAACTCCCTTTACTTGGCCAAATGGTGCCACGAAATGACCTCTGAGTAAGAAATGTGGTAAAACCAATCCCTAACTAGTTTTAGTAAGTTTTAGCTTGGTCTCCAGTGAAAGAGGCGTGTTGGTCTCCAGTGAAAGAGGCGTGTTTCATTGCAGATGGAGTAGTGAGTAAAATGATTAACTGAACTAAACAGAGGAGATTTAGGAGTGATTAACAAAGAAAATGACAGGACAATATCTTTGATAGCTCATTAATCTACATGCCACTATTTGACTATTTCGTGAAGACTTAAAATCCGTTATAAAGTATAACTGTAGTACACTGTGTTGTGCTCACACCTCATCAATCTACCTATCTGTTCATTAGAGTATTAGGACGGACCTTTACAATGATATTGTGATTTGATTGCTATTTGCTACATAATATAACGCAGGGTTACATCGCCCACACTCAGCACAAACGAGATTGGTGGCACGAAAAAGGTGCTTGAATTAGTGCCAATTTAAGATAAGGATAGTCGATGGTCCTATAAGTCCCCCTCTGTAAGCTACTATACAGTATACACATAGCTATGGTGTAGAAATTGCAGCAAGCTTTTTCAAACACCCGCCCCCTATGCTGCTAACGTAATCTGTAACAAATGTGTCGTTCACTTTAAAATTAAGATCAGGGAAGGGTATAAAAAGTGAACCTAATCCGATATTTGAAAGTATGAATTATTTTAAAACAACAAGTTGCAACAAATAATCAAGATAACTCTCATCCCATTTTTTCGAAACAATAGATTTTCAGATTGCACTATGAAAGTATATACTATATATATATATATTTCGTAATGATGCGTGATGACAACCATAACCAAGCTAAGCTGATTAAAATTTAAACGTATCGACATCGACAATTAGTCAACCTAAACCTAAACATGAAGCTTACATTCATAATTGAAATGTTAATTGTGAGAGTTGAGCCAATTATTACAAATTAAAATATTAGATCACATCATAATCTTGACACAATCTTAAACTAGCCGTAGCACAAATAGCAATGCTGCTTGGAGTTGACTTGATATGTACGATCTTCATTGAAGTAGTCAGTAAAACAAGGACATGATACTATGTGTGGGGACTACGGACCCCATCATAACCCATTTCAAATTTGCCGCCTGGTTACATAGCACTGAAATACAATATAATTCAATATACAAATTCAAAGCAATGTAATCATAGTACACACCAGCCCAGACGCTCAACATTTTATGTTATGTTATGTGGATAGGAAAGTCGGGTTGAGTTGAGTAGACTGAGACATGAGGATTGGGAGATGCTCGGCAAAGTAGTAACACAAGGAGGTTGTGTATCATATTGATTACTCAAAGTGAGATTTTGGGATATCTATTCGCACAACGCCAGGTGGGAAAAAATTGTTGTTTCTGGATCGTTGAAAATCATTTGACTTACGAAATGAGATGAAAAGAAGAAATTTATTGCTTATTGTTTTTGATTGATTACCAATTCAAGCTTATCTTTTGATAAAGGTTTATAATAACTAATTCATAACTTTTCAAAAATTCTTGATCCAATGTATCAATCTATTATTCCACTCTTGTTAAGTTTTAAAAATTTAATTAAAATAACGCTATTTTAAAATGAAATGGACACCCATTTCGATCACTAAAAATGGTTAAAAAAGCACCATCATATGATTACTAGTACCTCAAATCATCTGAAACTAAATTACGAGATTAAACTTGTTTAGTGACTTCCACCTTCTAAACCCATGACGAAATAACGGTATTAATCTGAATAACTAGCTTAAAGAAATGATAATTACATGGCACATCCAACAAGTTCTATTATCAAGAGAATCCCGCCCTTTTATCTTTCAAATATATATTGACTACCGCGTGACAGCTAACTAAATTAAATCTCAATTCCCAGACCTGGTCACTTCCCATGAACAGTTGTTAGTGATAGATTGACCGGGCTAATAAAATTCGCGTGAATCCATGTAAGATTTAAGCAGGCATAATTATGCTTTTATGAATGCTAATGATAACCACGCTATTATTTAGGCTAATGTTAATATCAAGTCGGGTCTAACCAATGATTCATCCTAATTTTGTCGGACTGATCGATAAATTTACAATTGCAAGTCTTGTAGCATTATTGAGCTATGCATGAGTTAATCTCGGTTAGTGGGAGGTGTCTGGGCGGATCAGCACCTGACAATCGAAGACAGCCGGGCTAGACCAGAACACCATACTTGAAGCCGGGTTAGACCAGAACACCATGCTTGAAGCCGGGTTAGACCAGAACACCATGCTTGAAGCCGGGTTAGACCATAACACCATGCTTGAAGCCGGGTTAGACCAGAACACCATGCTTGAAGCCGGGTTAGACCAGAACACCATGCTTGAAGCCGGGTTAGACCAGAACACCGTGCACGAAGCCGGGTTAGACCAGAACACCGTGCACGAAGCCGGGTTAGACCAAAACACCATACTTGGAGTTCCCACTAGAGACAAAGAACTTCAGGAGCTCATGATAGTGGGTCTCAATTCGAGGGATCATATTGAGAATATAAAATTGTCCATGTCTGTAAGTATTCAGGCGGAAGGAATACCGATAGGGAAACCTAGCAAATAAGCCATTTTATTTTTGAAGTCATGGGAACGCGACGCTCCTATTCCTAATGCCCTCTTTGATCTCCTAATGAACAGGTTTTAACAGAGGCGGTGCTTGTTTCCTTGGTTACATTAACGATAAATTAGAAAAAAAAGTAATTTACCCAATGATCCAGAATCCCGATAGCCAGTTACGTGACAATGTGACAATCCTAACAATTAAACAGTTGTAAAGTCAGCTCTTCTTCAGACTTAACCACCCACGTGCAGGAAATTGAGATGAAAATGAAACAACATAACACAATGTAATAAACAAGAACACATAACCAACTTGAGTAATGAGTAAATGAGTAATCACCGAAAATGAGACAAAATCTACACAATTAGCAGGAACACACATAACCGAATATCTCCAGCTCGAGTAATCACCGTCGACTAATAAAAGTAAAACGAAGAGCTAGTATAATTTGGGAGATACCAAATTTACTTGTTTTAGCCCAAGAACGCATTTCCGTCTGTAATAGGTATGTACAACTTTTAGTCACGATTATGAAGATGTGGTTATCATGTGTATTATCCGGTCAGGCTTAATTAAACCCATTAAAATATTGGCCCAGGTGTAATCTAAAGCCTCATGTTCATTGATTTTATTTGCAAGTCAGCGTGGCTCTGACAGGTAACTGCTAAGTGATCTTTAAATAGCGACCATGCCTTTCTTTCATCGAAACCCCTTAGCAGTTAGCTCAAAATGTTGAAAACGATAACTTTATTCAATTTCAAGCTCATTTTCTGTGGCTAAAATGGTCAAAATTGATCGTTGCATTTTTAATTGAAGTTGAAATGATTGCTATGATCTTGCTGGTCTAAAATGAGAACAGGCTAGCGCAGGTTGCAACCCGAATCCGATAGCTGATTCCATTTCCTGATAACCCTGAGTTGCATCTCTATCCTAACGTCATGATCGCAGATAATTAAAAAAAAGTTTGCACACTTCTTTATCCTTAACGATCGCTTGAAACGGGTAACCATGATATCATTTTAAGATTCAGAGTCTGTTCAGAAAATTGTCGTTACTCATGAAATGAGATCAGTCGGAATTAATGATTACGTTGGCCGGTAGAGAAGGAAGATGCCGTGAACGTGGCGGCAATTATCAAGTCTAAAAGAGCGACTCATTTTGTAACCGTCATTAAATCTAATTCGATAAGCGACCGAGAGGGTTTACAATTTACCAAAACGTAATAAGAACCGTCGCGAGAAAGTAAAGACCGCCATAACAACAATCGTGGAACCTGCAGCGAAAATGAGAAATCGAAGAACTAGTGGATTATAATGGACAGAATGGCCGATAAAGTGGCATGTCGTGATGAGAAAATCAGCTCGGCGGCCAATAGTTTATTCCTAATCAACCGGGCTCTCCTTCTCAGCTGTAATTACCTAATCAAGGGGTGATTAGGGCTTTTCAAAACTGGTGGAAATGATAATTACCCATGGTAACATTAAAATGAGTTTGATCACATCAAAAATTCATAAAAATTTCCTGTCACCGTGTCACGACCTTTTTACGCAAGAGTAGACGTGTCCAAATCATGAGTCACATATTGTAATCATTAGTCGTGGCTGCAACAATAGTAGCAAGGTGGGAGGGGTGAACGGAGACTCGGACAACGCAAGTTTTAAAGCTTGTGTTCGACAAAACTTCTCTTAATCCTGATTGACGTTAACGTTTCGGCTGGTTGAAAAAAGCCGAAGTAAATGATAAAATTGTATCGCAAATTACCACTGTCTATAAATAAATTGCGAGTGGTTCACCGAAAAGCGTCAAGAATTACCATCAGACTTTGTCTGGGTGACTGCCTAATTCTTGTCAGGATAGAAAAGGAAAAGAAGATTAACACAGTAAAACTGAGACCAAGAATAAAGTCGGACTTCTGAAGTCCTGTGGACGTGGGCGCCCTAATTATGTCCATGTATGCACATAATCGAACTACATGTGACATGTACCCTATTCCCCCCAATCACGAAATATATCATAGCATATTTTTGTAACAAACTACTGTTTTGACCCCAACTGTAGCGACTTATTTGTGACCTATTCCGTACTAGTTGATTATGTGTCGGTAGTTGATAGAATGTTCCTCCTCAATATCATTGTATCACTATTACTACCATTACTTACTATTACTATACATATCACTATTACTTACTTCAAGTTTTATTATATTTATAGACACTCTTCTGAGTAATGGCGGAACTGTAAAGAAAATTTTAACAAATGAAATTTAAAACTAAGTTTAGATTAAACATAAACATGCAACTATTCATAATAATATAACATATTGTGCCTGGCAAAAATTCATTATACTGACTTCTCTGAGGGAGAGTAAGAGGCTCTGTTTTGCACCACAGCCTTCAATACTATTACACTTACAGGAAAGTAAGAACATTTCTGAAATTAGAATACCTGAAAGAGCAGGGTATTGTTCTTAGTATCAAAAGCGGAGGAGGCGGAGTCCAGCAGGGTACGGCAGGTTGGCAAGTCGCCAGACAGTAGACTGTAGAGTAAAGCAGTCCAGCCTGTGCCGCGCACTGATCGGGTTACATCAGCCTGAGGGGAATATTCCACATTATATTATTGGTAATAATATTGATTATTGATAAGATAAAATGATAATAGGACAGGGACTTCGGGGAGTGATTCTTGTTGAGAGCATTCTCACTTCTCATGTTTTGATTGGTGTATCAGATCAACCTCGCCACCTCGGCTGTTCTGATTGGCTGATCCTTGTGAAGTCCCGTATTAACACTCCGCAGAGCCAGTCAGTCCCGAGTTATAAGAAAGCAAGATAACGGAGTACAATGATAATTTGCAACCAATCAGCGTTCAGTTAGATAACCATTAACCACGTGCACCGCTGGTGAGCCAATCAGCATCTATAAGTGAGATAACGGGTCTTGCTCATTCCGAGGAAGGAAAATTCTGCTTTATAGTTTATATCACCTTATCTTTATTCATCAAAGTATTAGTATTGATAAGACGCACCAACTATGATGAGGAAGACGATAAGAAAAACACGTGTGCGATTAAACCCCTGAGGGCCGACCGAGACTAGAAACAAAAAATAAACTGGTAAAATAAAATCAAATAGTACCTACTACCTATGAGACGGGTGCCTTTAAACTTATCACTGACAAATCAAATACCTGAACCCTGACTACTGTCACTCTATTAGCCATACCCACGAGGATCTCATGTTATGAACGAACTCTAGCAACCGATTACCACCGACCATCCTGGTAATAGCCAGGCTGGTCACCGGTTCTATTACCAATTGAGAATTGGTCAGAATAATGACAGCACATCAATCAATCAATGGGCATGTTTATCCCAGAACAAATTATTACCATATCAGCTAATCAAACCACGCAATTATTTGTTCCTTTTTTTTCGTTATAATTATATTTTGAATTTTTTCATTAGACTAACTAAACTTCAGTGCAATTTTAAAAGGTTTAAACTGGTCCTGGGATAGAAATTTCGCTCTGTATCACTATCATTCCTACAGAATTAGGCCTCTCTGCCAAATTATGTAAGCCGAGGGGGAGCCAGTTTGGAAAAGCTTACGCTACTACTATAATTTCTACACAATAGCTAGAAACTGTACCTTACAGTTGGTCAGACTCAGAGCTTGCTGCTCGTTTCTATGGAGCTTTATATAACCAACCGATTGATATCTCATCCCTCGTGATCATAGCTACTATTAACAGTGCTCTATGTGGAGGCATGTAAAATCATTTCTGCTTTCCTGCCAAATTTGGCTCGGAAGTGTGATAATTTAACTTAATACTGACAAATAAAATACTTTCTTAACTCTAACTACTGACACTGATAAAGGTATGATTGTTAGCCATACCCAGTACCCACGAGGATCTCACGTTAAAATGAAGGAGCAGTTTAACAGTTGAAATATGCCCGTGATAGGCAGAGTAAGACAGAGCTTCGCACAGCTCATCCTTGAATTCTTCTTCTTCTTTCCTGTTGGGGGATAACATGAGAACGAATAATTACGAATAATTTCGCCTTTTCAAAGTCAGAGTTGAAACTTTATTACTCTCTATATATATCGACTGAGTACAGTGTTGTTTATTTTATTTACATATGTTATACACTGTACTGCCGTTTTCTGGCAAAAGTGCTTATGTAACATTTTGGAAATTTCGGGTTTTTTGGTCTAATTTTTGTTTTTGGGTCAAGAATACATTCGCCGACCCCCCGAAACCCCCTTTTTGGAACCCCCTATAAAATGCAAAAAATGGTCATTTTTCTGAGAAAAGTGCTTAAGTAACATTTTGGAAAACGGGTGCCGATTATCTCAAAAATGGTGCCATTTCGGGAACTGAAAATGATGGCATTGTTTTCTACGTCCAAAACTGGCAAAATGACGGCAATTTGGTGATCGTGGGTCTTTTGGCCTGGAAAAAAAACAATTTATTGCACTTAAGTTTTGTGAAAACGAAATTTTAAAATTTTGTATTTCAGCGTGTCCCAATATTACAACCAGTGTTTCATCACAACAGTTTAAGGCTTATTTTTCGTCTTATTTTTGATGACCAATGGTTTGAACGGGTCATTTTCATCAAAACATGGAGTTTTTGCCGATGTGGCTGTACTTAAGCACTTTTTTAAGAAATTCAAACTATAATCGGTGATTTTTAGGCACTTTCCGAGAAGTTAGGATGATGAAACCTTGTCATAAGTCTCAAAAGTCGACAAAGCACCTTAGAAACATAGTGGGTGCAGTTTAAATTTGACAGCAGCTAGCAGCACAGAGTAATTTTACAGAATTGAAATCTTTGAAGTCAATTTGCACAAAATTAACCTTGTGTTACTTAAGCTCTTTTGTCAGAAATCCCACCCTGTCACACAGTGTACAGGGTGGGATCATATCTTTTAAACGGGAACCGGATACGAGGGCGGAGAACACAAGGGCGGTAGACACAATAGCGAATCACATGAATCACTTTAACATTGACAAACGGGTTTTTTGATGTTCTAAACAGTCTGGTTGAGGTAAAGCTTAGTTCGAAGAATTGGATCTACTCACGTGTAAATTTGAAACAAAACATAGTGATCAAGTGATGGGACAAATAATCACCCAGATTTAAACGAGCCAAAAATTGAGAGATTTTCCTTAAATATCTCAGCCAACTCAGCAGCATATTTTAGGGTTTGGTAACGTGCTTAGACCAATCAAACACTGCCTAGATGTACATGTGACAAACTTGGCGTTCAAAATATCGCAGTCGCTGACGCTACGGTTACCCGGGTTTAGATCAGGGGTAGTACGCACCCAAACGGGTATTTACTTTGGGTAGACGAATTTCACTGAGATGTGTTCACTCAATTTCAAACCATCAATCCTCTCAGCTAAAACGACCATCATTTAGGACGGTTTTTGTTCTGCCTTCGTGTTCATACTGAAATGAATCATGTGATTCGCCCTCGTGTCCACCCTTTTAGGAAAGTAACGCCCTTGTGTCCTCCGCTCTTGCGTCTACCGCCCTCGTGTCCTATACCCCTTTTAAACAATTAATAAAGTACACACCACTTGTGAAGTGTCCATAAGGGACAGTTATCTGCTAAGACTTCAGTTATTTGACAGAACTTAACACCACGGTGTTAAGTTCTGTAATAAAGTTCGAGAACATCGAATGTGGAGAACGGGATATTCATATAAATAAAGTTTGTAAATTAGATTAACTTTAAATTGATCGAGTTTTTTCATCGATCAATCTATTGATCTATTTGATAATTGTTAATCAATAGATACTGTACATTATATTAACAAAATACACTAAATTCAACGAGCAACCATAGATCCTATAACTCACACACTTTAAGTCGTTCGTACACGATGTGTTGTATCCGAAGCTGATTTCTGGCGAACTGTTTATTTGTCGCACTTGAGTGCGTTTCGGACTACAGTACGTGAATGATTTGATTGTGTGCTTTAAATTATTCCGGATCATTTTCAAATTGTTTCGACCTTGCACAGACATAACATTTTAAAACTAGCAATTTTGTTTTTTCGAACCTTTCAACACATGTTTGTTTGTTTGTTTATAGAACCCGTCCCCAATCTCGTATTGGAAAATAACTAAACTTAATTAGTTTAGTATTTTTAGTATTTACTATCGATATCAGATCTCGATCCCTACATACTTCCAAAATTTAAATCTCAAATTTTCTGCACAATGTACTGGAATGTTTTTTTGAAGAAAAGTGACATACGGGTATATGCCTCACAGAATGGCTAGCCTCACAGAATGGCCAAATTTGTAAATGTTTTTGTAACTAATTTTTTTATATACCGTAGAAATAAAATCAACGATTTAATTTTAGGAAAGTAAAATTAATTCCCTGGTTTCTTTAGTCAGCTTTAAAGTCAGAAAATCAAAGTTTGTAACGTCGATACCAAACCGATTATTAAGCGATGATAGCTAAGTAGTAAATAGTTGATTTAGGGCCTGTCGTGATATCATGGATCGCTTAGGTTCCACCAGGATCTGGTAGTGGTAGTCTTCATAATTCTGCGGCCTCTATGTATCGTCATCTCGCACAACTCCTTAATGTTTTTGGTATGAGAAAATTTGCAGCCTTCCAGACATTGATTGAGTTAACGAGGTGTTTTACGAACTTCTTTGGAGTGAAAATTAATAATAATATTATTTCACATCCTTTCTCAGGGAATCTGGACAAGGATCAAATCAAGTAATCAATTGTTGTTGAGCAGCAATTCTGATAAGAATTAATTAAATTTTCAGCTCCTCCCTCAGACTAGTTGATTAGCGATTGGCTGTTTCTCAATCTTTATTCTTACTCAATTTGTAAAATGGTTTACGTTTCTCACGGGTATGCTGTAAGGAACTAAAATCACAACTAGTGCAGTTAAATAATAATTGCTTGGCATTACTTTGCTAATTTTTCTTAGATATTGTTCCTGACGTGGCTCAAATTTTCTTAGGAAAGTAAAATTAATTCTCTGGTTTCATTAGTCAGCTTTAAAGTCGGAAAATCAAACTATGTAACGTTGATACCAAAACGATTATTAAGCGATGATAGCTAAGTAGTTGATAAGTTGATTCCTGGGTTGCAGAGTCCTCCTGATTTTCAGTCTTTGAATGTGGTTTTTGTTTTTGTTCAGTTCTGTCCATATTTCCTTGTGTTATGTTCAAAGTTTTGTTGTGTCATGTTGTCCTCAAATTATCTGTTCGGCTTGCGACTTATATTGGTTCAGAAAGGAAAACTTCTACTTAGACTGGCAACTGTTCTTAAATATTGGACACCAAAAGAATGTCAAAAATTGTCCTATTAACAGACAGCCTAGCTATAATGGATTAACAAACGAATGACAATAGAATGACAGCATAGTAATAGAAACACTTAGGTGATAAAGAAACACATTTAGAATATACGAAAGACACTTTCCTTTTTTTAAATATTCATTATCAGGCCATACATCTAAAGCGTTGTGCGGGTTTCAACACATTACGTTATGTCACATTATGTAATGACACATTATGACTACCTGTTGCCATGTTATTATGTTAAAGAGGTATCAGTTTGGTTTTGATTTGCTAACAATCTTTCAGTTCTATTTTAGTCAGCTATATTTTACAAACAACTTACTTTTTATATCTTCTGACGTGTGTAACAGTGTAAAGTGTAATTTATCCTTTTACGTGATTTCATACTAAAGTACTAAGACTTTTGTATTATTCGATATTTCAATCGAACAATTCTGTAGCTATGATCAGGCATAAAATTTAGTCGGAAACGTCGATTCCCGGTCTTGCCTTACCGTTGATGCAAACCTTAAACCCACTATATTTAGATCCTGCATGGACTACCAGCATTACATCATCATATTTGTCATACGTTTTATGACCCGCCGCGCACGAAGTGCGCGGCTCCCCCTGTATCGTCAGGACGATACAGGGGTCGTTTCACCATAGTGAAACGACCGTGGGGGTCGCAACGTGATACAACATCATATATAGTATTGAAGGTGTTATCAGTCGTCACTGATATGATTAAATCGTCTCACCTTGATTGGTTGAGAGAGGTTATAAGACTCTGCACTATGTCGTTGTGTCCCTTAGCAGCGGCCAGAACCAGGGCACTCTGCTTAAACTGGTTCCTGATCAGGATGTCCGCTCCGAACTCTAACAAACACTTTACACACCGCACGTGACCACTCGCTGACGCCTGATGAGTAGTTAAAGTGTTAAAACATAGTACATAATTTAATTTTCCAATTTAATACTGTTATTTATATGATATTGTAGAAGGGGACAATTAATTTTCAAACCAATTTCCTTTATTTCTGATTTCCTGATAAGCTCACGACCACAAAACCTTTTGTCATAAGGGCTGTCTGCCGTTAGACATTATAATAGAGGGCATCATAATTGACAAAATATAACCTACATACGAAGCAGACAGTCGACAGTAACTTTAAATTTGATAATCGCCAGTAGGATAAGAATAGTGACAGATCACAGAACTGTCTCCGAACACATGTAATGAAAGAACACTCGGGACAGCTGCTATAGTTATTATATATAGAAATATTACAATAAAGCTTTATTGCACCTGTGTGAAGTCAGGCCTTTGTTACGGTGACCGTTGAATAATTATAAAATTAAAAGCTTTATGCACTCATCAGGCATAAGTCACTACTGTTAAATGTCTGTCAGAATTTAAATATTTAATTATTTTCTACTTTTGTTAGAGTTCCTGCAAATTCAGCTGAGTCGAGACTTTTGGCGGTAAACAGAATTGCGCTGCTTATTTCGATACAGTTAAAATCTCTGAATTTAAAGGTCAAGGTATTTATTTTAAATAGTATTCCTCTGTAATTATTAGTCATTGACAAAACCCCTTTCCAGCATGTTTCAGTATATCATTAGTATTGATGATTAGTATTGATTATCGGTAACTAAAGGAAGTAAAATGGCCTGTATTTTATGGGGTTACCTCTTGCTTGTTTGTACTAATTTCTAAAGATATATATTATATAAAGATATTCATCCCAATTTCCTCCGCTCATTACCATATTCAATATTATCTACATATCTCATGTGACTTTTACAACCTTTTTGCTCGACTGCTTGTAATTCCGTGTATAGTTACCATTTACTAACTGACCGGAGTACAATCCTGACCTAGAAGAGAAAATTTAGTTGAACAGGTGGCGACCACTGCTTCATTATACCTGAAAAGGTGTTTTGGTGCAGGAAGAACAACCAATTTTCATATTAAGTAGGCGTTCACAAGCGCCCCCAATATTTCACAATTCCTTTTGTCATAATATTATACTACAAACTAATATATGTTTTAAATGCAACTTTGTATATGTGTGTACACTGTACGCATCGAGAAAGTTCTCATATTACGCCCATAAATTCCACATTAGTATCGTTAAAGTAATAAATTGAAGTCTTATTCTAGATCAGAATAGCTAATTTAGAAGGCAAAAGAGAGCGTAAGATTAAATTATATTCTTTTTTGGCACCTTTCCAGTTCTCCGATGATGTAGTCTGATGACTAATAACAAGATCACAGCTGTATACATTAAATCACATCACTTCGTCATTTGAGCCTCTTGGATGTGTTGTGATACATTGTGCCTCTTTTTACTGTAATTTTACCGTTCGAATTATCAGGTATGTTTTGGCTTTAGTATACAGTGTTTATTGGACAGTGTATAGATATATGGTCGTGTACGATTTACCTATTCTTTGTACCGTTCAGAGCTAACGTTAGACACTTATTAGTGGATAAATGTTAAGTTGACAGTAGTCGAGTTGAGTGTGAGTTGCACTTTTGCTAGCTATGGTATACCAACTTTAGAGTTTAACCGTTAAATTACCACTCCTTTCATCTGATCGGTTTTTTTTTAATTTTCTGATCACCTCACTGTATACAAACAACGATAAATTGGAAGCCGATGTGTTACTGTCATCAGCTTTGATAAAGAAATTTTATATTGAATTAGTGATAGAGCAAGTTTTTTAGCGATATTTGTAGGCCAATCTTCTCACGAACTTCTATTTCGTCAACTTTTTATTTATTTACGTAATATGAGATGTAAAGCTCTGCGCATAATTTGGGAATTTAGTCCTCCTGATATCAAATTTCTCAACCTTAGATATTTCCCGTATTTTCTTACCGTGTTATCAGTTTATCACGGAATTCCATAAACCATCCACAAATATGAGTGTCATTTTCTTATTCTTTCTTACAGATGGTTTGTTGTCCAAGAAGTTTTGAAAGCAGTTCACGCTCGAAAGACATTTAAAAGTTGTTTTACAAAATCAATCAAAATGAGCCAAGAGGATGATACGTACCAAAACAGTGCAGCACCCGCAGCAGTCAAAGTCAGCCACTCCAGAAAGCACGGTGCATCATTCGTCTCCCTCGACATAGATCACACAGCCTCAGACGGTCGGACGGAGAGCACCGATCAGCTAAATATTGCAGATGAAAACGACAGCACTCTCTTAAACGCCCAGTTCAGAGTGCGGCTTGTGGTCGAGCATATTGCTGTCCAGATTATATCCATATTGTTAATCTTGATTGATGTTGGCTTGACTGCAGCAGCGATTGCTAGCACTGATGAGACTTTTGATAAACGAACTGGGATCGTCAGCAATGTCATTCTGGGCTACTTCATATTGGAGATTTGTCTTAGATTCTTCGGGATCGGCCCTAAAACGTTCTCTAAATCGGTCTGGGAGATGCTAGACGCCTTGGTTATTGCCGTATCTCTGATAATCGCTCTTACTATAAAAGATCCAGAAGGCAGTGAGTTGGGGAGACTGTCAGTAATAGGTAGATCTTTCAGGATGATACGATTGTTCCGTCTCATCCCTCAGTGCAGGAGGTGCATTCTGAGTGCCAGGCTGACGACCAGTGAAAACAAGAGGAGATACAGGGAGGATGGATATGATCTGGATCTAACATACATCACGGAGAAGGTCATCGCAATGTCCTTCCCATCCTCCGGATGGCTTGCTCTCTACAGGAATCCTTTAGAGGAGGTAGCTAAGTTCTTTAAATCGAAACACCCTGGACACTTCAAGATCTACAACCTTTGTTCGGAGCGAGACTATGGGTACCAGCCGTTTGACTACAGCGTGCAGAGATACATGATCGACGATCACAATGTACCCACTTTGCACCAGATCCTGGATTTCGTCCGGGACGCTCAGAGGTTCATCAAGAAGAGTGAACAGAATGTGATTTCTGTGCACTGCAAAGGTGGCAAGGGGAGGACGGGAAGCATGATCTGTGCGTACCTCATGTATAGTGCCAAGTCTCAGTTCCCCACAGGCGAAATAGCACGGGAGTTCTTCGCTACACGCCGCTCAGATATGAGGGTGAGCGGAAAGTTCCAGGGGGTGCAAACACCCTCACAGTGTCGGTTTATCGACTACTGGCAGGAGATTATCCACAAGTATGACTGTGCTATCCCTGAGGCACCCTCGCTTTTCATCAAGACGCTGAAAGTACACTCGCCTCCAGTACAGATTCAAGAACCCAACTGTGATCTACTGGTGGAAGTCTGGGACAGATCCAACGTGATATCCTCCTTCAACCTTGCATCTTGCAGTTCTGTCTGCAAGGTTAGTTTTCAAGAGGATATACTTAGCATTGATTTCTTAGATCACGTCAAACCGTGTGTCACCGGGGACATTAAAGTTCGGTTCAAATCTCCAAAGCTGCCTATAAAGTACGACAAGGCATCGTTTTACCTGTGGTTCAACACGATATTCGTAAGGGGAGGTGAACTGTTTGTCGAGAGGGAAATGTTGGACAATCCCCATTTTACAAAGTATAATAAAATTTACAATGAGAACTTTGGTGTGACTGTGTCGTTCGATCAGAAGCAACAGCAGAGACTAATCTGAGATTTTATAGATTGTTTAAGTTTTATCGTTCGATAAATGTCGATAAAACGTTTCAATTAAAGTACATTTGTAGTACTATTGTTTGGTGTAAAATCCGGATTGGAGTATTATTTATGAGTCGCATTGTTGTAATGTATTCTGGGTAAAATTATCTTTATCCCGGTTGTTGCGACAAGTAAAAATGCTCTTATTAGGGAAAGGAGATTACTCGACGTTTCAATGTAACTACATCGTATTCATGATCTCAAATTATTTGTTATATAGTAGTGTTGAAAGTATTAATTTTAATACTTTCAACACTACTATATAATACTATAATACCTCCGCCACTGAGTGCTGCGCGCTATAATTCCCGACAGCTTGCTGGAGGGAATTTGCGGGCACGAAGTTGCGGAGGTATTATATTTTATAATACGTTCCGGTTCCGATTGCAGAAGGGGTGTAATCCGATACGTGCGCATCATACAATATAGTGTCTAATATATAGAACGCCAGTGTTATTTGTTTTGAAACTTGCCGCCAGCCAGTCTGAGTCTGGGCTGATAATACCCTCGCTTCTCTTGCGGGAAAAATGAGCAAATTATCAGCCCTCGGTGTCCCCGAGTTTTAGTGGATATAATTCCCGGAAGGTATTATAACAAATAATTTGAGATCATGAATACGATGTAGTTACATTGAAACGTCGAGTAATCTCCTTTCCCTAATAAGAGCATTTTTACTTGTCGCAACAACCGGGATAAAGATAATTTTACCCAGAATACACTATTGTTTGGGGACACGAATCAGATTTTTTGTGTTATCTTACTGCAGTACCTAAATAACTGTTAAAGTAGATTTCTGTTTATTATGTCGATTGCGTACAGTCAGACTTTGATTTAAAGCTGATCTGATTAATTATGTTGTCATGTTAAGATTATGCGTTCTGTTGATAAATTATTCCAATTGACTAAATTTCGTTCTAAACTAGACTTATTTACTTGTTATAAAAATATGTGTTCAATTCGACAAAATTTGGCTACTTTATGAAGCTGCTAACAAGACGAATGATTATCAATCTCTTCAATGTTGACATCCTTTGGAACAGTTTCCTACGCCTGAGCGGCATTTATAGGTAAACCCCACACAATGCTTTTTAACAGAGTTGAAAGATGATTAATGGTGCGTATAAGCCTTAGATACGACGGCAAAATTGTTGTCAAAATGAAATGGCTAAATTCCTACGACTCTAAAATTGACAAATAAAGTTTCAAATCTATACGTAACTTCATCAGTACAGCTTAATACACATATTACTATTAACTACACAATAAACATAATACACATACGACTGCCCAAACCTGCATAGTAGCAGTCCAGCCGTAACAGTTAGCTCTGTCAGGATCAGCCCCATGTTTGAGTAGTAATCTGACTACGGACACGTGACCTTCTTTAGCAGCGTAGGTGAGACACGTGTTGCCTTCTGGGTCGGACACATTTATCTGGGGGTGGGGATATGGTTAGCTGGGTAGTGGTTTCGCTCTGATCTGCTTAGTGGTTCGGGATATGAACAAGAACTATCCCAAAAACTAAGTACATATTTTCGCGTCATGTGACTCTAAAAGTGGTAATCATTTTTGAGACAGTTGTTAATCCAGTACATTATATGGCACTGATCATCTCACCTCAGTCTTTGGGAGTAGTGCCCTTAGTGTTACAATGTTGCCCAACTCAGCAGCCCGAAGTATTTGTACTGAGAAATCGCACATCACTGGACATTTCGCATAACTGAAACTGTTTCCAACAAAAACTTGACGAATAGGCAAACTTGAGCTAAGCAGGTACTGTTGGTTGATATAGAGGATACAAACAAAGTATTAACGTAATATGCAAAGCGTGTCGAATAGATAGCTAGAAATGTACTCACAAATATTGAGCAACTCTAAATCATGCTTGTTATACACTCCCGCAGTTTAAAGAAGCAGACAGTCAGCGGTGAATTCAACACGTGGTTTATCGACTGAAGATCAGACTACAAGTTGTTCTGGAAAATAGCGCATTCATCATGATGGCTCTCTCCGGATATTTTCACAGTCAACTATCACCTGATGGATAAATAAAATAAAGAGACGAAACAGAACGATAATAACTAACTCGAGAATAACGTGCACGCTTGTTATCCAGCATGTTTTATATACTACGGGTGTGCTGATCCGACCGTGCGTGCGCAACTTCTATAAAAAGTATCTAGCGCGCTGCGGTCAGTCGTTATCCCAAACCACCCTACGGTTCAGCCAGAAATTCCCCTTGAAATTGCCTTTTTAATCGTTCTGTTTATCATTCCGATCATACTCGAACGAAGGCCATTCGGAGATCAAGATTTAAGAACCACACAGACAACCAATTATAGACTTGGCTTCTATGGGAGCTATCTTACCTCAGCATGGTGTACACGACTGTCGATCACAAATTCCTACAAAATTGTCTCGGTTAAATACTTACTTTTTCAAAGTCCTGAGTGACTTTTTGACAAGACGACAGATATACCATCCATTATCAGTTTAAAGTCTTTGACATCCTACAAACTTCCCCAATCCTAATACAAACCACAAGATTAACAGCCGTCCCCCGGTACTCTCTCCCTCTCCCTCTCTCTCTCTCTCTCTCTCTCTCTCTCTCTCTCCTCTCTCTCTCTCTCTCTCTCTCTCTCTCTCTCTCTCTCTCTCTCTCTCCTCTCTCTCTCTCTCTCTCTCTCTCTCTCTCTCTCTCTCTCTCTCTCTCTCTCTCTCTCTCTCTCTCTCTCTCTCTCTCTCTCTCTCTCTATCTCTCTCTCTCTCTCTCTCCCCCTCCCCCTCCCCCTCCCCCTCCCCCTCCCCCTCCCCCTCCCCCTCCCTCTCCCTCTCCCTCTCCCTCTCCCTCTCCCTCGCCCTCGCCCTCTCCCTCTCCCTCTCCCTCGCCCTCGCCCTCGCCCTCGCCCTCGCCCTCGCCCTCGCCCTCGCCCTCGCCCTCGCCCTCGCCCTCGCCCTCGCCCTCGCCCTCGCCCTCGCCCTCGCCCTCGCCCTCGCCCTCGCCCTCGCCCTCGCCCTCGCCCTCGCCCTCGCCCTCGCCCTCGCCCTCTCCCTCTCCCTCTCCCTCTCCCTCTCCCTCTCCCTCTCCCTCTCCCTCTCCCTCTCCCTCTCCCTCTCTCTCTCCGTCTCCCTCTCCCTCTCCCTCTCCCTCTCCCTCTCCCTCTCCCTCTCCCTCTCCCTCTCCCTCTCCCTCTCCTCTCCCTCTCCCTCTCCCTCTCCCTCTCCCTCTCCCTCTCCCTCTCCCTCTCCCTCTCCCTCTCCCTCTCCCTCTCCCTCTCCCTCTCCCTCTCCCTCTCCCTCTCCCTCTCCCTCTCCCTCTCCCTCTCCCTCTCCCTCTCCCTCTCCCTCTCCCTCTCCCTCTCCCTCTCCCTCTCCCTCTCCCTCTCCCTCTCCCTCTCCCTCTCCCTCTCCCTCTCCCTCTCCCTCTCCTTCTCCCTCTCCCTCTCCTTCATTAACCCCTTGTCAGCAGTGGCCAGTGGGACAAGCTCTAAACCTCCCCACATAGCTGGTGTGATTAGATTAGCTGTATTATAGTGGGAGAGGCTCAACATGACATTACCAAATCAAATCAATTTAATTATCCCTCGAGCGTTAACCAAAAATAGCATGAATGGTATTATGGTTAGTGCAGCTGTAGTAGATGATAGTGCAAATACATGACCCAATGCTTTTAAGAGTTAATAAGACACCCATTAACCAAGTTCCCCGGAGAAAAATATAAATGCATAGAATGTTTCTCTCGCGTGGCGGTGAACCTTCTTTCCCTATTGCGACAGAATAGTTTTTCTTAGAACATTAGCTTTTCTTGGAACAAAAAGTACTTTTCTCGTTACTGCTAATATCAGGCGTTTGAGAATAACATTATATTTCCCGTTATTGGACACGGTACGGTCTATTTCAGGCAGGATTCATCTCATCATAACGGTTTTATTTAGTATCTACCGTTTTGATATTCTTAATCCAGAAGCTTTCACGCAGAGGCGAAACGTATCTGTGGGCCGCCCCCTCGTTATAAATTTTGCCGCCCCCCCTCCCCATTGCAGGGGTAGCGGGGCGGTCGTTTCGCCACTGCTTTTACGTCTTCTCCCGGGCCATAGTTCTAAGAAATACTGCAAGATAGCGACCCCACTACTCTGGTATTACAAATCCTCCTGAGTGTACAGCACTGGCATAATAGATACGGCAGAGCGCGTCCCAAATAAAATGAAAATGTGATGTATATTTTGGCCAAAGTCTTAAGTCAGTTATCCCATATTTGGGCAAATGGAGGGAAAGACATTTCTTTGTTAATAAAATTGCAAAAAAAGCTCCTAATGAAGAAGCTTTTAACCGAAGCAATCAGGGATTGAGTTGAGAGCTGGGTCTACTGTAACAAATGTTAATGTTATGGTACTTACAGGGACTTACGGGGATTGAGTTGAGGGCTGGGTCTACTGTAACAAATGTTAATGTTATGGTACTTACAGGGACTTACAGGGATTGAGTTGAGGGCTGGGTCTACTGTAACAAATGTTAATGTTATGGTACTTACAGGGACTTACAAAGATTGAGTTGAGGGTCTACTGTAACAAATGTTAATGTTATGGTACTTACAGAGACTTACAGGGATTGAGTTGAGGGCTGGGTCTACTGTAACAAATGTTAATGTTATGGTACTTACAGGGATTGAGTTGAGGGCTGGGTCTACTGTAACAAATGTTAATGTTATGGTACTTACAGGGACTTACAGGGATTGAGTTGAGGGCTGGGTCTACTGTAACAAATGTTAATGTTATGGTACTTACAGGGACTTACAAAGATTGAGTTGAGGGTCTACTGTAACAAATGTTAATGTTATGGTACTTACAGAGACTTACAGGGATTGAGTTGAGGGCTGGGTCTACTGTAACAAATGTTAATGTTATGGTACTTACAGGGACTTACAGGGATTGAGCTGAGGGCTGGGTCTACTGTAACAAATGTTAATGTTATGGTACTTACAGGGACCTACAGAGATTGAGTTGAGGGTCTACTGTAACAAATGTTAATGTTATGGTACTTACAGGGAATTACAGAGATTGAGTTGAAGGTCTACTGTAACAAATGTTAATGTTATGGTACTTACAGGGACTTACAGGGATTGAGTTGAGGGCTGAGTCTACTGTAACAAATGTTAATGTTCTGGTACTTACAGGGATTGAGTTGAGGGCTGGGTCTACTGTAACAAATGTTAATGTTATGGTACTTACAGGGAATTACAGAGATTGAGTTGAAGGTGTACTGTAACAAATGTTAATGTTATGGTACTTACAGGGACTTACAGGGATTGAGCTGAGGGCTGGGTCTACTGTAACAAATGTTAATGTTATGGTACTTACAGGGACTTACAGGGATTGAGTTGAGGGCTGGGTCTACTGTAACAAATGTTAATGTTATGGTACTTACAGGGACTTACGGGGATTGAGTTGAAGGTCTACTGTAACAAATGTTAATGTTATGGTACTTACAGGGACTTACGGGGATTGAGTTGAGGGCTGGGTCTACTGTAACAAATGTTAATGTTATGGTACTTACAGAGATTGAGTTGAGGGCTGGGTCTACTGTAACAAATGTTAATGTTATGGTACTTACAGGGACTTACGGGGATTGAGTTGAAGGTCTACTGTAACAAATGTTAATGTTATGGTATTAACAGGGACTTACGGGGATTGAGTTGAGGGCTGGGTCTACTGTAACAAATGTTAATGTTATGGTACTTACAGGGACTTACAGAGATTGAGTTGAGGGCTGGGTCTACTGTAACAAATGTTAATGTTATGGTACTTACAGGGACTTACGGGGATTGAGTTGAAGGTCTACTGTAACAAATGTTAATGTTATGGTACTTACAGGGACTTACAGGGATTGAGTTGAGGGCTGGGTCTACTGTAACAAATGTTAATGTTATGGTACTTACAGGGACTTACGGGGATTGAGTTGAAGGTCTACTGTAACAAATGTTAATGTTATGGTACTTACAGGGACTTACGGGGATTGAGTTGAGGGCTGGGTCTACTGTAACAAATGTTAATGTTATGGTACTTACAGGGACTTACGGGGATTGAGTTGAGGGCTGGGTCTACTGTAACAAATGTTAATGTTATGGTACTTACAGGGACTTACGGGGATTGAGTTGAAGGTCTACTGTAACAAATGTTATGGTATAAGGGACTTACATGGATTGAGTTGATGGTCTACTGTAACAAATGTTATGGTTAAGGGAATTACAGGGATTGAGTTGAGGGTCTACTGTAACAAATGTTATGGTTAAGGGACTTACAGGGATTGAGTTGATGGTCTACTGTAACAAATGTTATGGTTTAGGGACTTACAGGGATTGAGTTGATGGTCTACTGTAACAAATGTTATGGTTAAGGGAATTACAGGGATTGAGTTGATGGTCTACTGTAACAAATGTTATGGTTAAGGGAATTACAGGGATTGAGTTGATGGTCTACTGTAACAAATGTTATGGTTAAGGGAATTACAGGGATTGAGTTGAGGGTCTACTGTAACAAATGTTATGGTTAAGGGAATTACAGGGATTGAGTTGAGGGTCTACTGTAACAAATGTTATGGTTTAGGGACTTACAGGGATTGAGTTGAAGGTCTACTTTAAGGGACTAAAGGACTTACAGAATGTAGAAAAAAGACACCAAATTTTCTGTAAGGAAAGGAAAGGAAACACAATACTTACTACCCCGCTACTATGCGACAAAGATATTGAATAAAATATAACTAAATAATTTAAACAATACGGTGCCCATGTCTAAGCGGCTCTCCTCGAAAAAACGTTCTCTTCTCATCGGAGCAGAAAGTTAAAACAAACACTTGCTTT